TAGAAGGTCCTGTAGTTGTGGTTGAAGGTGCTGTAGTGGTAGTGGAAGGTTCCGTAGTTGTAGTAGAAGGTTCCGTAGTTGTGGTTGAAGGTGCTGTAGTGGTAGTGGAAGGTTCCGTAGTAGTGGTTGAATGTTCAGTAGTAGTGGTTGAAGGTTCCGTAGTTGTGGTAGAAGGTTCTGTAGTGATAGTGGAAGGTTCCGTAGTTGTGGTGGAAGGTTCAGTTGTAGTGGTTGAAGGTTCCGTAGTTGTGGTAGAAGGTTCTGTAGTTGTAGTTGGAGGGTCTGTTGTGGTAGTGGAAAGTTCAGTGGTAGTGGTGGACGGTTCTGTAGTGGTGGTTGAAGGTTCCATAGTTGTGTTTGTCGGCTAAAATGGCAGTCTTAATTTTCAAGCGTGAACAGAAACTAACTGTTGGTATGGGTGCCGGCCCACAAGCAGCGTCGACTTGCGCCAAAAGAACAAAGAGAATGAATATGGTCGAAACCATTGTTGAACTGATTTCGCACTGGCTCTCCACCCCTTATATTGGCTTTTTCCAGATTCAAAAATATGTTAATTAAGACACATGATTGAAATAATGAGATTCCTCTATATTTTGCAAAAATAAAAAAATCTAACTGCGCCTCTCATCTCTCACCTACTAAGTTTTTGTTGATTTTTTGGTATCTGCAGAACTAGAGAAAACTGATAAGTTGTTCTGATTGTTCCAGTATCCACTGGTACAGCGAAAATGGGCCCATCGAGTTCTTATGGTGCACCAGTTAAAACGGTACATGAGATTTTGCGGTACATGTGGGAGGGCAAAAAAACTTTTTCAGCATATGATATGTTAGGAATATGATATGTTAGGACAACACATATGATATGTTAGGAATTCTGACTTCCAATTTCCGGAAAATCAGTTTTACTTCCGGCTTCCGACTCTCAAATTCCTCCAGGGAACTTTTGCAAAAAATGTTGCGAAGTTTGTTCGTTTTGGACCAGAAAAATCAGACAATCTTCGAAATTAGCGCCAATACCTACTCAGGTAAACAATTCTGAATTAGATCTGACTTCATTCGGAATTAGATCCTCAGGTAAATCGGAAAACCTTTCTGAGCTACATTTGAGCAATTCTGAAACCTTTTCAAGCAAAAAGTCCACGATTAAACTTTTTCAAGCCACAATCAAATTTTTCAAACTTTTCTAAGCAACTTGTAAACTTTATCCAGCTGCGCTCGAAACTGAAACTTTTTAAAGCCACAGTTAAACCTTTTTCAGTCATATTTAAACTTTTCAAACCTTTGTCAGCCTTATTAAAACTTTTTTGGCTTTTCGAAAAATTTATTCTGTTTTTAAAAATTATTTTACCTAGTTTTATTTTATTTTCATTATCTTTCAATTTTTTGTTCGTTTCCATATGTTTGAAAGTCGTAAAATGCTTATTTGAGAGAAGATCCAAATCACAATCTCCTGGAATCATAATCTATTGCTCAAGAACTATCATCGGAAAAACGTCATGATGAATCATTGAATGGAAATTCAAACCTGCCGTCAGAACGGAGTAATTTATCCTACGGTTCATCAGTTTTAGTAAAAAATGTCTTTATCAATCATAATTTCAGACAAGGAGAAACTTCAAACTTCCGAAGCGACAATTTGGAAAATCGTGTTACACCAATATGAGGAAGACTAGATCATGATCGCGATCACATGAACCCGTTCCAAAGACACTATCGAAACTACGTATGAATCAGGAGAGAACGCCTTCCATAACAGTGAGTTTTAGCTCTTAATATCTATTTCTAAAAATTTTAAATATTTCCAGGAGGATATGATATCGGGCTGATAACAACGGGGATGCGCTACGATGTGAGGTTCAAAGATGTTTCGAGATCGAGATTCCACTGCAGTTTAAATTTTCTTGTTTTTTTTTGTTAAATTCTTTTTCTCTAATGAATGTATTTTCTGAAAATCCGTCTTCTAAAGAATCAATAGTTTAAACCTTTAGTAGAAACGATAAAACCTTTTTAGCAGTGAAACAACTTTTTTAAGCAACGAATAAACCTTTTTAAGTATCAAAAAAAACTTATCTAAGCCCTTCTCTAACTTTTTCGAGCAATGGATAAACTTTTCTAAGCAACAACGAAACTATTCTAAGCCCTTTATAAACTTTTTCAGCCGTGGCTAATCGGGCACCTTTTTTAGTTTAATCGTGGCTTGTTTATGGCTCAGAAAGGTTTTCCGAACTACCTGAGTCGTTCGTTCGTAATTAGAAGTGGCATGATCTAATACAGAATTTAGCTGATCTAATTCCGAACGAACACCGAATGAACTACGAACGAATTAGATCTAATTCCGAACAGGCCGGCGGGATTTCGGAGCATCGTAGCGTGCGCTCTTCAAATTTTGTTTTCTTTTCAACGCCATTCACTTTATTTATGATAAAATTTATTAAAAAAGAAAACAGAACAAGTATGAGAAAAAGAAAAACATTGATTAAAATTTAGAAATAGGAAATCGGAACGAAAATAAGGGGTGTGATACAACTGAATGAATGGGATCAGCAAAAAAGAAAACGATGAGATCAGCGAGAAAAATGGGAACTATGAGATAAGAAAAAGTGACAAAATTTATGAAAAAAAATCTCAATTCGAATTCTTCCGCTCGTCCATATTTTCAATTTTGAAAATTCTCTTGTTTTTCATAGTTTCCGTAATCTTTTAGGCTGAAAAAGGCAAAAATTATCTTACCTGCAGAGTTTTCTCCGAATTTAAAATCTTCAAAATCGTCGTAATTTTGTCGATTCATAGAATTACTGTCTTCTATAGAAGTCGTATATATAAATTGAACTTTGAATATTCAGCTGTCCCTAAAAAAATTCACCTAAAATTTTGCAAAAACGTGCACAACACATTAAAAATATGATAATAATATAAAAATTAAAATAATATAAAATAATATAATAAAATAATATAATTAAAATAATATAATTTAAAATAATATAAAATATGTTCCAGAAAATATAGTTTAAATAATTGAGCTAAAAAAAGGCAAAAGTTGAGAGAAAAACCCATTTTCCTGACGAAAAAAATTTAGGACAACAAAAAAAACACAACAATTCATCCGCGGCAGCGAGTCATTGATGGCGTATTTCTCGTGGCAACTTCGGTATTAGATCTAGTCCAAATCTAATTCCGAATGAACTCAGATCTAATTCCGAATTTCGAGTTATTCGATCTAATTCCGAATGAACTCAGATCTAATTCCAAATCGTTTACCTGAGTAGGGGCCACAACATTTTTTTCAAACTGTTTTTCCCTAAAATCTTTTTATTTTCTTCCAAAAATATTCATCTGTTCCCGAGTTACAGCTCATTTTGTGCTCCTCCTTTTCCTCCATTTTCGCCCACAGCATTGCGCGCACGCGAAAAAGTGGGCGGGGCGACGACAGCGCAAGGCTGCCGCGCGGGAGAGATGAATTTTACAAAATCACAGGCGAAATGGAAAAAATTAAAGAAAAGAAAAATTAAAACTTAGTGTAACGCATTCATAATTCACAAAAATGGACTACGAAGTCAGCGAAAAAGTGCTTACTGTTTGAAAAAAATGTTGCGATTCCAATGTATGGTTTAAAAAATACCTTCAAAAAAGTTTTTCAAAAGCGGAATCGAACCCGCATATCTTCGCTTAGCACACCACTGGCTTAACCAGTACACCAAACGCATTATGTGCATCGCATTTTTTTCGGGCAACTTTTTGGGATTTGTTACAAATATCACTTTATGTGAAATTTTTGTAGAATCCGAATATATAAAGAAATCATGCGTTATCAATCTCTATTAATGGTAAAATTGCGAAACACTGAAATTTTCTATGAGTACGCCATCTTTCGAATGGAAATAAAATACTTTCTGATAATTCAATTTTGTTCAAAATTTGTCTATGTAATGTTCGAGAGTAGTATTACCTATAAAAACCATAAATTTCATAGGTTGTCACTAAAATTTCTTCACAATATTTACAGCCAGTTTGGCTGTAATGTACTATTTTCGGGCAACTTTTCTGAAATTTTCGTTATTATTTCCTTTCAGAAAAAGTCTTCAGTTACTGGAAATAACAAAAAAATTGTGCGTTATCGACTTTCATTACACTTTCCCAGGCATTTTTCTGCCGCCAGCTTTTGTTTTATGCCTTTTTCTTTTTTCAGGTGAATTTTTCAGTAAAAACAATTACATATTCGAAATCTACGTAGTCGATTACATAAGGAAATATATTTTCATATTAATCCTTCTTTTCAAGCCAAAGTTACAGCCAATCAAACAGCCGAAACGACCCTGGGGGGAAAAATATTTAGGCTCCGCCCCTTTTTCTGTGGTTGCTGCCAATACCATAAATTATGCTCCGAATGAACAGAAGGTTATTAAAAAGTTAAATTTTTTAAAGTTTACTCCGACTTCCGACTTCCTACTTCCTAATTCCGGGCTTTTTTTTCACTTCCGATTTCCTAGTTCAAAAGTTGCCCTTCCTTACATCTCTGCAACACATAAATGTTATAGGTCTGAAAACTTTTGCAGAGTTTCTTGAAGTTTTACCAACTTAGAGCATAACTTTGAAATTTTCTATTCTCTGTCCTATAGATTCTCTATTAGCTAGGAGGTTCAAGACAACATACCACTATAGGAGTCTGCATTAAGACAGCTATATGAGTCTGTATTAAGAAGTTAAGTTTGAACGAAGCATAATCTTGAAACCGATCCGCAACATCTAATATTCTCAGAATTGTTCAACTTTCTTCCTTCGCTACGATCCTCTCAACGCTATCAAAGTTTTTTATCCAGGGAAAGTCTTGACACTTGCGAGAAAAAACTGCCTCTCCCTGTCAATGTGAAAGTATGTAGTATGGACGGAAACTTCTCAAATACTTGATTCTATGAATTTCAGACTGTTTCAGAAAACTTTTGTACTTCCAAAGTCCTTCACAATTAGACCCGTAGAATGCTGGCATCCTATACCGTATGCGAACCATCTCGGTTGCGGGTGCCAATACTTGGCCAAATTTCATGATTTTACAAGTGTTGGCCAAGCCTCCCACAAGTCTTGGCCAAATTATGCGCCACCATGAGCCGTTGTGATGGCTTCCACAAGTCTTGGCCCATAGTCGGAAGGCTACAAGTCTTGACCAAATTCTGATTATTGATTTTTCACCTTCGGACTCATCATTTAATTTTCAATTTGTTTTCTGGTTTTACCTATTTTTCTACTATTTTCATAAAGGTTCGAATTTTTATGAAGGTATTTTAATTTTTTGGTATATAAAATTTTGAAGCTTCGAATCGTATAACTTTCAACATGACAGAACATTCAACTTGGAGGATGAAAAAAGTTAATTTTCTGCAAAATTCCACCAAAAAATTCTACATCAAAGCTGATGTTTCAGTCGACAAAGGATCTCTTTTTGAAGGTTTCACACATTTTTCAAGGGATTTCAAAATGCTATGAAAACGATTCAGAGTTTCGTCAAAATCGTGCATGCGCAGAGTGTCGCAGTGGAAAATGAACACGATTTCAGTAAAAAACAATGTTTGGAACTCACAGAAGTAACGTTTTTTAGGATTTGAAGACAACTCGAACTATGTAAAGAAGAATTTATTTGCACTGCACATTATGTAGATGCTTGTTATCCGAAAGTCAGTAATGTCGAAACCACAACTGTGAAAATTTTTCGAAAAGCAAGTGATGGTATTAGTTCAAAGACTGAGAATTTTTCAAATTATCGTTTGTATTTCAGATGCAAGAAATTGGATTGTAATGTTCTCGTCTAAAGGATACTTCAAAATACAAAGCAAAAATTGAGGAAATGAGATGACTCGGCTTGATGCGATTACACTGTCATTGTCGATGAATTTCAACGGATTTCAAAGAAAAGGAAACGAAAAGGTGGAAATTTTTTGTGATTTTAATTAATTTTTTTTCTCATTATTCGTTTTGTGTAGTGTTCTAATAAAATGTTGTAGTATATCTAATTCCAAATACAATCACAACAGAACAACAGGTTTCAATGAAAACACACAAAGCCACACACAAGTCTAGGACAAGTCTTCCACAAGTCTTGCACAAGCCTCCCACAAGTCTTAGCTAATACATAGAATAATGTGCTCGGAGACTTGTGCTAGACGTGTGGGAGATCTGGCCAAGTATTGGCGCCGACAGCCGAGGCAGTTGAAACTATATCAGCAGCAGTCGACACAATCTCTTGGTGACTCGAAGTCTGATGCAGTGTGTATCGATTAGTGAACCTTGTTTTCCCTCTTCTTTCCGTTGTTTGAAATTAAAGTATTTCAAACGAATTTGGAAAAAACATTTCTCAAAACAAGTCTTAAAACCTTCCTGAGGCTACAAATGAAACTTTCATCATTCCATGTCAGACTTCTTAAAGTTTCTCCCTAACATATTGGTTTCTCCCGTATTTGTTTATGTCATTTTCCTGGAAACACTTGGAGCTTTAAAATAGGCACATAATTCGGAGGGTGCAACAATTCAGGGTACAACGGGGCTACGAAGCGATTTAGGGGTACAAAACTCACAATTCGACGATGCAAAATTTTAATTTTTCAGGTATTTTGTACCCTTAAATTAGTTTGTACCCCAATGACCCCAAAGTTCTTGTACCCTCCAAATTATTTGCCTTTAAAATAACCGAGAACAACAAAGATCAAATATAAAATTTTATGAGAAAATAACATTCACTGCTTATCAGCAACGACTGAGTCGGGAATTCCAAATCACAGCCGTATTTAGCGTGGAACCTGAAGACATTCTACAGATGTAATTGTGTGTGTAAATACTCCTCCAGTTGGTGTATCTGCAGTATAAATCCAATTCATTTCACGACTGTCACATGTGACGTTGATAGATATTCTTTGGACTTCATCTAAGTTTTCTTTGGCTTGTCCATTCTCATTAAATTCCATGTTCACTATATATCCATCATCTCCCGAGCATGAAATTCTTAACGTGGAAATTGAATCAAGGGTATCCGGAATTCGAGTTGATGTGAATCTGAAAATCGTCGAGAGTACCAACGATTTGAGTAAAAGTTAAACTGATTGTGAAGATTATTATTTTAACGAAATGATGGTTGGTAGGTAATACTTAAAGTTGGCGACACCAACAACAGCTGCAACATCAACAAAGTCTAAAAGACCCATAGTAGGATTTATCGAGAATAATGCCGTCTTTCAGCAACTCTATCAAGTTTAACTCTTTTACTTATAGATTACTTAAAACCAGGAATAGTCTCATTATCGCAACTCTTTCGATGTTTACCTTTTTTTTTTAACACTCACCCTCCGTATGTAACATCCACGTTTCCTTGAGGATCATTGTTGTCTCCAGGTACGTAATTAATTAGCTTGGGAGAACAGGTGTTCAGAACTATTTCCGTCATGGTGGTGGAAGGAGCTATGGTGGTAGTAGAATGTTCCGCGGCTGTGGTTGGAGGAAGGGTGGTGGTGAACTCCAACGAAGTCGAAGACGTCGGCTGAAAATGGCTTTGTCTTAATTTGCAAGAACGAGGATAAACTAACAGGTGCTGTGGGTGCCGGTCCACAAGCAGCGTCGACTTGCGCTAAAAGAACAAAAAGAATGAATATGGTCGAAACCATTGTTGAACTGATTTCGCACTGGCTCTCCACCCCTTATAATGGCTTTTTCCGGATTCAATGATATGCTAATTAAGACACATGGTTTAAATAATGAGATTGCTCTTCATTTTGCAAAAATAAAAAATCTCCCTGCGCTTCTCATCTCTCACTTTCAATGTTTTGTTTCGATGCTCACTGAAAACGTTTTGGCTGAAAGTGGATCGATTTCTAGGATGTTAAAATGTTGGAATATGACGACACAGTAGTATATGAACATATAAGAAGATTGTGCAGGGGTATTCACGGGGTATGGACTTATGTAGACAAATACATTTCAGTCACAACAACTTGTAAAAATATGGTTTTTGTGAATCAAGCAAATCAAGAGATCGAGGATTCGTGGAATGGTAGGAGTCGAATTCACATTAGTTTTGACACTATTTTCAGAAAACAGCTAAATATCGAATTTATATTTTTAACACGACAAAGGTTCATCATTTATCAAATTCACAAAATATTAAACGAGATATCAAAATAACCCAGTTCAAATCATTTATGAAAAGTATCATCCCTCATTTGATACCTGCTGACACGTCACTGAGGTGATTGGTCTTGTGTAAGTGATACCATTCAATGTAACCACATAATTCCAAACTTGATCAGCACTGTCGCAAGTGACAGTAATATCAATCTCATGTGGAAGGTCCTGATTATCAAGCGGGCCTCCTTCTCCTCCATTAAACTGCATGTAAACATTATAGCCAGTTATAGCAGAGCAGCTGACAGTCATAGTGGATATTGTCTCACTAGATTCAGATACTTGAGTATATGAGTAGCTGGAAGCTATGGAGTCGTTGTTGTTGTAGATGTTGTAGTAGAAGTTGTGCTAGTTGTAGAATCCGTAGTAGTAGTGGTTGTCGAGGATGTACTGCTAGTTGTAGTACTGTATGTAGCGCTGTCCACAATCACATTTGCAGAGATGGACGTTGCCATACAGGACTCAACTAGGTTTTTAGTACAGAATACTTGTAGAAAAAGAACAACTAAAATGAAACATTTCATGACACATTCAGAAGCACGAATACTCTGAAATTGAAACCACTTGACAACAGTTTTTGGCCGTACGTTCGAGATCCTCAGAATAGGAGAACGAAAGGATTTTGCAAAATGTTTCCAGCATTCTAAAGAGTCTCGAACCTATGGGAGGAGTTGCAATGGGAATATAGGATCCAACGAAACAGAATATCCGTCTGAAAGCTAGCAAGCACATGTCATAACCATAATGTTCTCAATGGCGTTTGGTGTTCATTGAGACAGATCTTCAAGCGGAAATGAAGTTTGAAAAGAGGGAAAACTTTGTATCTGACGTCTTAGTAGGTCAATTCATATGTATTAGATAAATGGCATTTCTCAACGTAAGATTTCTTAAGTGTTAGTTCAAAAATACATCTTTTTGGTTCTTATTGTAATTTTCCCCTTTACTCCGATCTCTGCAACGTACGTCTAACTCTTCAGTCTTCCAAAATTACTATTACACTTTCTCAATATTACTTTTTACTCAATAGTTTCCATCATATCAGCCACCCCTTTTAACCAGAAGCTTCAAGAAACACATGTGTTCTTGAGCAAATACCTCCCGAGAGGGCTCAAGAGAAAGGAAGAACAAGTTTAATAGTGACCAGCGAAATAGATAAACAAAAAAGAGAGTCATGGAATTCATGAATTGTGCACATGCATTCGAGAAACGAAGCTTCCTTTTGATCGATGGCTCTGCGCAGTTAATCGGACGGACTTAAAGAACGATCAGCACTCATAGAACAACTCAGAGTACGCACCAATTTAATCGCGTTGGTGGGTTCGTTATATTGCATTTTTTGTTGGTTGTCTCTTTGTTGATGGGTTAAATTTTGTGTAATGTGTGGTTCTTTGGTCAGGTTTTGTGGAAAGCAACGATTTCTAGCTTGGAAACTGATAGAAATCGATGATCGTTTTCTGTTCCAGTTAAAGAACGCACCTAACTGAAAACAGTAGATGCAAAAAATCCAGGACCCAGGACCCAGGACCCAGGACCCAGGACCCAGGACCCAGGACCCAGGACCCAGGACCCAGGACCCAGGACCCAGGACCCAGGACCCAGGCCTGTGCGGCAACAAATTGCCGATTGCCGAAATTGCCGAATTTTTGTTGCTGATTTGCCGTTGCCGAAATCGGCAACGAAGAAAAAGTTGCCGAATTGCCGTTGCCGATTTCGGCAAAAAATTTTCGGAAATTTCGGCAACTGAAATTTTTTTGAATTTAGAGATTTTCACAATTTTATTAGTCAAAAAAATTATTTCGAAGTTCGAAAAATCAAATTTTGAATACCATCATCCCTCAGAGTGAATTTTAGAGGAAATGTGTCCCAATAATCATCAAAAATACTTGCATCGGATCTAAAAATGGGCTTCAAATTTGTGAGCATAGAAGAAAAATAGATATCATGAGTCACAACTCATCAAAAAATTATCCAATCTGTCTCAAATGTCTAGGGAACGTGTGTCGTGAGTTGCCTAACAAGTTGAGCGCACTATTTTCAAAACTCACAATCGGAACAAATATTTTCAACCATTGGAATACCCTCTATTGCTAAAGAGAAATAGTTTGCATAAAAAATGTGGCCCTGAGTTGCCAATTTTTGTAATTACTTTTTTAAGGAACTTATGAAACACATTTTCTGTAGTTCTGAGCCTGATAGGTGCATTTTCAGGTGAGTTACGTATCCTTTTTACTAAAAAAAGACGCAAAACTTTTGTTGCCGAAAATTGCCGAAAGTTGCCGAAGTTGCCGAAATTTTTTTTCGGCAATTGCCGAGTTGCCGAATTGCCGAAAAAATTTTGTTGCCGCACAGGCCTGCCCAGGACCCTTCACAGGGTAACGGCTGCGCATGGTATATGTCTAGACGCGCATATAGGATGCTAAATATGTGCACCCATAATAATTCCGTGGGTAGCGCGTGCGCACTATATGCGTCGGCGCTGGGCACGACTGATCGCCGGTGGGCGCAGCCATATAGCATCCATATAGCATGCACGCTTTTCCCATGAAAACAGCAGCCTACCAACGACACTCCGCTATTACTAGTGCGCGTTGTTTAGCAAATTTTTTCACCGCCGATATTGATCAATTTTTCGATCATATTGATCATGTTTCCTGTTTTCAAAGAACTTCTCACTGTTTTCCCATGTAAAAATTATGGCTAACTAAAATACAACTTAATTTTAGTAAAGAAATTGGTAAAATTTGTTACAAAATCCGGTTTTTCTTGAAATTAGGAGTTTTCTAATTTACTTCGGAATAAGCGGGATGATATATTTTTCAGGTGGAATAAAGGTTGGTTGGTAAGTTTTCCGATTATTACGGAGTAAAAGTAGGAAAAGATCCCAGAAACACGAATTATTTCGAAAACAATGTTTTGCGAATTAATGTCAATTTCAAGAACCTTGTTGAATTTTTTTCAAGTTTTCTATCGAAATTTTGAAGGGAAAAATTATTATGTTATATCATCGAGATATTTTAAACTTTTGGTCATAATTTGTCTTGTGTGAGAGCATTCTGTGAAAACTGGAAAAATGGTCACTCTGTAAAATCTGAAAGGGAAAATGAACGATATTGGAAAAACTGAACAAAATAACATCTTATTACAACTATAGCTAGATAAAATAATCCATATAAGAGATTCCCATCTCCAATACGACCTGAAATTGTAGAAGAATTATGGAAGCGCGCAAACGATGTACCTATGTCGTCCATATGAGGCGCCGCGCCAACGCATATACCATGCGCAGCCGTTACCCTGTGTTTGGTTTTTAGACCCAGGAATTTTCTCAACTCGTAAGATATTTTTCATATTGTGATGGACAATTTATTAGTTGACAACTTTTTTATATCTTTGACACGAATTAAGATAAATTGGCTCGTAGTTAAAAAACAAAACAATAGTTTAACAGGAAACAGCTTGTAAACCAAAATGTTATTTATTCAATGTTTTTGAAAATTTCTTTTGATTTTTTTTGCTTTTTTCCTTATTTGTTTTAGAATATCTACAAAACGTTTACACTTTTCATTCCCTTTTGTGTTTTTCTGTTTTCACACACCTTTAGTCTTTTCCCCACACCCAGTTCTATTTTTGAAAAACAATTATCCCCCAGCCTGTCATAAAGAGTTATCTCCATCTGTTCTTCCCAGTTTATTCAACCCCCACGTGGTCAACAACTATCACATGTTTCTCTTTTTTTTGACTCATACTGTTCCAATCCATGTGACCCTTCGTTTGCACACACACTCCTCAAAAAAAGCATGTTTCAAGGAAAAAAGACAAGATTTCAATTAGGAAAATGATCAAGGTGGATTGGTTTGATTGATTGGATTGATCAAGATAGACAAAGACCAATCGGAAGGAATTGGTTGAAGAACATGCAGTTTTCAACGAAAAACCTTGAAAACGGGGGAGGGACCGTTCCATTACCACGTTTCGTTAATAAAAATACATATTGGTTAGTGGTTTGATCTGAAAAACGTTATCAAGAAATTCCGAATTTAGAGGTCAAAAAGTTATATGTGAGTCAAAATTATATATAGAATACTGGAAGTAGTTGTTCACAGGATTCCAGAGGGTTTAGTCAGAAATCGCGCCAATTCCACTTTGAAATGATTAAATTTCGTCTGGCCTAAAAATTGTATGAGTCGCGATTTCTAATCAAGCCATTTGCAACCCTGTGGACGTTTTGTTCAACAAAAAAATCTATAAAGGTCTTCATTTTAAGCGAAGAAGCCAATGGTCAAAATTATAACCTTTTTCAAAGCCCTCCTACTTTGAGGAACTGTAAATATGTACATTATTGCACTTCTACTTTATTTTTGCGTTGTGTTGTTATGAATTAGAATTATGTTATCAATCATATGTTTCTGTCAAGTACTATGTATGTAAGAGAAAGTGTATTATCTTTAAAATTATTATTCTCCAGACACACCATCTATCACTGACCAGGAACTCCAGATTGGAACATGAAATCTTCATGTGGACACTTGACAACATCAATATGAACTATCCACAATGTTTTCATAAACAAAACCCCTCGGGTTCTGATTTCGAACACTGACAGTATCTCAATTGAGAGTTTTATGATACCGAAGCGATATGTGATACTACAATTACAGACTTTCTTGTACAGAATTCGTCTGAAGCTGTCACCTTGACCAAGAATCACTAAACTTCTGCTCTTGTTACATTTTATCATTATTCACAAGTTAAACAGAGACAATCAAATTCCTTTATAATCCTCATACAACAATTCGATTCTCATAGAACCTCTCTTCAATTTTTCAAGGTTGAAACAAAAACGTCCAAACAAATACGCCGCCGGTTCTCTGGTCAACTCCTCTCTCTTTTTTTCGCAATTGATCATTTTGCAGAAATCACGTCTTGGCGACCTCAAACTCGACTCTTTTCGCATCAACCCCAATTTTTTCTCCCATTTTTCCTCCCATTTTTCTGGCTCTTTTTTACACAAAAATCATTAATCTTGAAGCAGAGTAGAAGCCCCCGGAATTCGTTGGAAAACGGAGAAAAAATGAGGAGATTGGGGTCATTTGAGTATCACGTGATTGGGAAAGCTCTCATGAGCTATTTTTAAACTGGATAATTTTAAAAATGAAAGTGACTTTCGAAAATTCCAGACTGGTGGACGAATAAAAAACAGCTAGAGGGGAAAAACACCCCATGTCAATTGGGTCACGCTGGCTCGTGACTCTGCTACATTCCATAGCACCGGGAGGTATCCTTTATAAAATGATGGATGGTTTTTTGTTGGATACTATTTTCAGATTTTTATTGCTAGTATGGTATAGTCCGGAATTTTCTTTTCTGGTTTTTGTCCAATTTTTATTTCGTTCCAAATTGCTGACATGTCTTTCAGGGTTTTTATGTAAGTTTAAACGAGATTTTTTCTATTAGAATTGCTTTCGGCGAACATAATAAACCCGCAAGAGACCAAAGATTCTGTCGACTCTTGTCTTTTCGAACTTTGGAGTTCTCGAAATGCAGATATTGACTGAATAAACAGTTATTAGTAGTTGAATTGATATTCCACTATAAAGTACAAAATTGATTGGACTGTTCTAAACAGATTTCCAAAGACCCGAACCAGAATTTTGGTTGAATAAACGGTTATATAAGTAGTTAAATTAATAAATTATTATGAACGCTGCCCAGAATCCCAGTTTTAGTAGTTGGTAATTTAAATTTACCATGATCGTTAACTATGACTTTCAGACCCATTGAACTATTCTAAACGGATTTCCTGAGACTCGAACCCTAAGATAGATTTGGCAAAAATAAAATCATCCCGGTCGTTTTCTCTGATACTTTATTCTTCGAACTTTGCAGAAATAACTCTGAATCGATTTTCTAAAAAACACCCAGTCAATTCTTATTAACTCTAAAATACGATTCTCCGTATTCCCCACAGTATCCCCATTCTCATTTTCTCTATCCGTTCTCATACCGTTCACGTGTATCTCACATGCGCATCTTCCCATCTGAACCCATCTTTCTCTGTGTCCACTTCTCTTTTCTCTGTCTCGCCATTCTCTTCTTCTCTCTCTGATCTTTGCAAACATCACCCCCCCCCCCCGCCTCCTTGCCTCCACCTCCTTCTACTATTCACCTCCTCCAATACCGTCTTGTATTTAAACGACAATTGATTGTTTGGGGAGGTCATCTGGTTCCTTTGCTCTGTTCTTTACTTGTTCATTTTTATTTCAATAAAAAATTCCTAAACCAAGATTGTCAATTTCAGAGAAGCCCCTCCAAACCCCGACAGAATGCTGGAGCGTGTGTTGAGCGTATTCATCTTCGTCCTTTACCTTTTCGATACTGTGTTCGCTTCCCAAGAAGAGCACAACAAAGGAAAAGGTTAGTCAAAATAAAAATACATGTTATTTCATCACTGGATATAAGGTTGTTGAGAAAATAAAAGAGAGTAGGGACTTCCAAGGGACTTTTCAAATGTCTAGTCGTTTTCATAGTGCTCTCAAGTTAAATCTATAATATTTAAAACTATAAAATCAATCCTGTTTTCCCATAATTCAAAATCTAGGTCAATTATTAATTGACTGAATGAACACAACAAACCCGTCCTACTCTTCGTCTTCTATCTATTTTCTTTCCCTCTGGCCATCTTTCGATATTTTTTCTGATGGAAGAATGGCGTGATAACTGAGACCACTGGGAAGACCCCAAACATCTGGCCATCCTCCAATCATTTCATTTTTCTCGTTTCAGATAACATGTACAAGAGAAAAATCAGTGCAGTCGGAATCAAAGATCGCGGAGTTCGTGTTGAGCAGTTTGCCGTCCCATCCTAATACGACACCAGTTGTCCCAAGACAGTGTGCTCTGTGAGCATTTGCCCCCTTCCACCACTCTCTCCATCATGCACCAATAATCACATTTCTGTCAAAACGCGGTATCAACACAAACTTCAATAAATGATTTTGAAGTATTATCACTTTTTTTCGACGAAATGATTTTTTTTCCAAAAGAAATGGAGACTGATTACTGATAAGAGCGAACAGGAAAGGAGGGAAAAATGATATGATAAGAGGGCTTTTCGGGAGCAGATAGTGGGGGGGGGGGTAAAGGTCGCTAATTGATAGGTTCAGTGTGGAACATTTTGCTGAAACCAGGCAGCGTACGTGCAAATAAAAAAAAATAAAAAAGAAAACATGTAAAATACCAAAAAATTTCAAGATTTACAGTATTGGAAAAAATTATGTCTTGGTTTTTGTAATTTTAAGTTTGATTCGCGATTCCTCAAGTCTAGGTATTGTTATGATTGTCCAAAGACGATGTTTCTCGCACGCCGTTATAATTTTCATGAGTTAAGGCAACTTTGACAAGCGATGGCTCAGCTCAAAGTTGATCGAATAGTTTGAAATTTGGCCAGTTTACTGATGAGTTATTTGAATTTTCGCACTCCAAATGTTAGCCCTTTAAAGCGCTTGACTCAACTGTAACGTCATCTCGTTATGAAACCAATTTTCCTGTTTGTCATAAATCTTTCAAAATCATAAAACTGATTATGTAAATAATAAGATTCATAGAAGTAAAACTGACGAGTTTTTGATTATCAGGACTTTTTATCGAGGATTCCTACTGATAACAATAAAATACAAAAAATTGTTCAGTTCCCATTTGTGACCTCTATCCAATACCATGAAATACCAGCATTTTGATAAGAATACATTGAATGAAAGGCATATAAGAAGAAAAGATACGATACAGTAAGACAAATCTTAAGAAGTTCACAATTACCCGAATGGTTTACATCGAAGATAATGTTATTAAAAGATTCATGATAAAATAAAATCAATTGTACAACAAGGTTTTCCGTTTCATTGAATACCAACTTTTTGCATAGTATGCTGAATAACAACGTCTATGACAGAATCGATGACCACCTGAAACCAGACACAGTTATTTTTCAGATCAGAAGCTGTGAGTCACACCTGAATCTGTTCGGTGTCTGTTGCACACGTCACATGCTCATATATTGAACGTTTTTTGTTTTTGTTCAGAGAAACGAATCGCTTCCGAATGTAGTCGAGGGCGCTGTCCCGTTCTTGAGGGCCTGGAAAGGGAATGATGAATGAGGAAATACACTATTGCATCATAATTAGAATGGAAACAAAAAACCTTTTCAGATTTCATCATGTGTTGTTACATCATTCCCACCTTTATAACTTGTCAATGCCACTGTAATATTCGTATGCTTGATTTTGATTTCAAACAAATCAATTTTGTTCAAGAAAAGGATCATAGCTGTATTGATGAAATATCTTCCGTTGCAGATTTTCTCAAACAAGTTCAGCGATTCTTTCATACGGTTCTGAAAAAAAAGAAAATTTCAAGAATTGCTGTTCAATCTCCACAAATACCACTGTTGCGTCTTCCCGCAAAACTTGATCATATTCTGATAGAGAAGTGATAAAAAGTACAGCATGAACATCATCAAATACATGCAACCATTTTCTACGCTGGGCTCGTTGACCTCCGACGTCAAAGATTCTGAAAACATGCTTTTTATGGCTTGCTTTGTGCTCAAGCTTCGCCCGCCGGCCTCAGTCGGTAACCGCACCACATCTTCAATATTCTTCTCACAAATTCAATTCCTTAAGGGGCTGTTATGTACCAAAGTTTGCGGGATAGCTATTTCATGTCCCCCTCCCACCTTTAATCTAAAAAAAATTAACTCACTTGAAATTGAAATTCTTGAGCATAATTTTGTATTGAATAACACCGGATGTTGGAACTCTGCTCTTCAGAATATCCTCTTCTGTTGGCAAGTAATCCTTTTGAATAATTCGAGAAAAGTTGTCAAGGAAACTAAAGATTAGCGGATGTTAGTGGACCGAGAAAATAGAAGAGAACTCACTAAATTGTGGAATCATCAATATTGTAGACAGTCTTGTCTCGTAACATCATTGCCACTGTCTCATCTTTAACATACTTCTGAATGGCATTTATCACTTCAGCTCCTAAAATTTTGTCGGCTTCGTCTGCCTTTTTGAAGTTCTCTGTGAACATTCGAACTTCGTGGATGTGATCCTAGAAACTTTCTAAATCCTCACTTTTTCAAACAAATAAGGAACCTACAAATGATAATGGATTTTTATATGATTTGTTTTCTCTGCCAACTGCTAAATGAATTTCTTCAATTCCTTCCAGAATGTTCATGAAAATTCCATGTCGTCGAATCAACTTTTCTTCAACACTATAGCCTTCGTCGTGGATGATTCTGAATTTATCGATAAGAAATATTAACAGGGGCTTTGGAATCTCACTTGATCTGCTTAATTGTTGTACTTTTTCCAGATTCTCCAGGTCCTGAAAAATAGCTTTTTGAGTTACTGGTTAACTCGAAAAAAATCTAAAAATTATCTTGCCTAGGATGAGTAACTTTAAGATTTTCAGTTTTCGGTCCTTATCCAAATCTTGCTCAATCATTTTGTTATGTTCCACCTGAAATGAAAATCCTCTTCTCATAATTCTCATTAGGCTCTTTTTACCTGTTTTTTGTAGGTTTCCTTATCGAGCATATATGTTTCCGAAGAGCACAATGCACCCATTTTGAATGAGTTATTTTACCGATTTGCTGAAAAAAGCTAAATTTCAAATGCGTGAAAAACAAGTGATCAAATATCGAATGATTTTAATATCTCTACAAATCGAGAGCTATAATTTAGAAAAATTTAATGAATCATGGAGCAACAGATAAACCTCATGACGTGCTGTTTGAAGGCTGTGATTATCAGAATAAAAAAAAAGTAAGTGTGAATTTCGATTTTCCCGTCTACTAGACCAGACAGTCAGAAGAATACATAATTATTTGGTCAACCAGAATTCAAAAAATCCAAAATTTCTAAGAAGAACTCTCGAAAATTTTTTTTCTAAGAAGAACTCTCGAAAAAAAAAGAGAACATGAGAAAAACTGCACACTCTGGTCTTGAATTTAAATATCATGACGCCACAAAGTCACAACAACCACTATATGAAGGTTGGCGGCGGGAATATGCGATTGAATTTGAAAAAAGGAAATTGGAAAATTTAGGTGAGTTGGTGGAAAGGAGAGAGAGAGAGAGAGAGAGAGAGAGAGAGAGAGAGAGAGAGAGAGATTTACGTGCACATATACGGATTCAGGTGGTTGTCGAAAGAGCATTAGACTGAATAATTGAAGGGTAGCACTTGGATTTTTGATATTTTTGATAGGTGTTGAGGAAACAAAACTAGGAGAAACTTTAGCTAGCTGACGATCATCATTATGTTACATTATGATGAACGTGTAAAACATCGAAACCCGATTCAGATCATAATTTATATGAAAAGGAATTTTATAGGCAAATCTGATTAGAAAACGTTGAAAAGGAATTTTCGATTTTTGAGAAGGTCTTACCGTATTTCCTCTAATATTAGATCAACCCACTTCAAATTTAAGTTCAGATATCTCGGATCCTGTACAAGGTATCAAAAGGCAGTTCACCAACAAAACATTTTCAATATTATGATAAACGTTTTGTCAGTTGACTGCTTTTTGATATATTTTACTGAAACCGAGATATATGGGTTCAAAGTTGACTGGATGAGTAGCCTTGTAATAGAGTGTTTACGATATAAAAATCTTTATCCCTACAATGAAGCTACTACATTTTTTTAAAAACTGTTTCAAAAAAGGCGATATGGTAAACGAAAAAACCGAAATAGTTCTCGAAAAATATTGGGCGGAAAGAAAAGCTGACAAGTTGCAAAAATCTAACTTACATCACTAATTTCCCGAGTAATGACATAAAAAACGTATTCAGCTGATTTATATCAACGGCATACATACAATTGATACAAATCACGGGAACGAATAAAGTTCAACATCTGCTATACCAATGTGTATAGACCGGTATTCAATATAAGTTCATTTCCTGAAAATTGGAATGAGTCAGTGTTCTTTCGTGTTCTTTCCTGAATTTCGATTCAATCAAAAGTGCTGGGGAAAATGAAAAAAAAATTGACTTGATTCTGAAAGACTTGACTTTCTGCGCAAGCTATTAATCTATTACGTATTACCTAGAAATCTTTTTTTCTGAAAACATCCAAATCAAATTATCTCCTCTAAGCCCACCAAACACCGATCGCTTTTGGAGGCTTGAAAATTGGAAAACCTCGATATTTTTTATCACAAAAGAAATCTGGCCAGACCGAACTCTCATTGTTTTTCATACTGGATCGGAAAATGTATCTTCCCTACAGACACTGAATACAAAATACCTATAATTTGCCAAACTACCGTAAAAGTGCACAACGAAAGCGGTCTTTATGGGATCCGAGAGATTTTCTGAGAACAAGCGAAGATCCTGAAGTCTGGAATCAAAAACTACAGCTACATAACTTTTCAGGGCAGCAGTGACCGCGGTTCAGAGAACCCTACTTGTGCTTCTGAATTTATTTTTTGGCTCATTTTTTCCCGTCAGTACTGAAAAGATACAGTCAGAAGCTCATGTTCATCCATTTGAAAACAAATGTAGAAGAAAAACTCGATAATATATTTCATGACTGTCGTCATTCTTTAAGTTCAATAGTCGAGGAGATAAGAGTGGGGAGAAAGAGAGCTGGTCAGCAGGTGGATTTTGAAATTTGTTTAGAATAAAGAGAAGGGAGTTGTGGTTATTGAATGTAAGTATGAAAACATAGGGAAGGGTCAAGAGAAGAAAAAAAGAACAAAATTATTGATAGAAAATTTGAAGAATAGCTGAAATTATGAGAATAGCTGAAAAATCTCTTTTGTATATGAAGCAACTAGAAAACGATATGACAGCTCAGTGGACTTTGGAAATTTATTTCGTTATTACGTAAAACCTGTATTAAAAGGGCCGACCCTTTTATTTTTCTAAGGTACTTCCAGAGGGTCCTTCAATTGGAGGGGCCTTCTAATACAACTTTCATGGTATACCGACTTAAAAGGACTACGCAGAGCAAAAAAGAGCCCACAGGATCGAACTATTACCAGAGATGGATGAAATACAAAAGGTTGCCAAACAAAAAATGTAAAAAAGTCATTTTGAAAACCATTCCAAGAAATTTTCGTCATTGGAATGAAGCAATTTAGCTGTGGTTCAGGTTAAACTAACTTCCTTTTTTTTCTTCACCTGGGCGTCTAAGAGCCAGTATCATGCGGGTATGAAAACCAGAACTGTAGAAGAGAATATCTGGTGGCCACGGCCGAACTACCGTCATTAGCAAACGATTGTTTTCTCTTTCGAGAAAAAAAAGTACCGGAAATTTCAGGTTACGGTGGTTTCCAACCAGTCTTTTTTTAAACAAGCATGTTAAGATTTTTTTTTTGTTTTCATACGAAAAACGTAACTAAAATGTTTGAAGATTCAAATTTTCGTTGTTTTCGTGAAACATAAAAAAACACGAGTCGTCATGCTTCATTCAAAAGGTTGGTCTAGTAAATCTACAATGGCTGACTGAAATTCCAGCAGCTGACGAAATATGAGTTAAAGTGGCAATGATGTTATTCAGGTGGTTTATGGATTGAATGTGTTCTATGATCTTCTCGTGTCCAAATTGCTTCAGGGCAATTTATACACTCGAAATAAGAAAATAATGAATTTTGTCTAGTGTTGACAAATGACAAATTTGCTAGATGAATAACTACACTGACCCAGCCCACCGATACTTGAAAACTTGAGAATTCTAATTCTAATGTGAAAAGAGAAAATGGGGTTTTGATAGATATGAATTTTTAGTATAGTGAAATGAAGAATGTAGGGTTCTGTCTTATTTCGAAATTTCTAATTAGGGGGTTGGAAGTTGGAGAAGAAGCACTGGCAACCGTTGGAAGCTTGCTTGACGGCCGACGCCTACACATCGAACAACTTTATAATTGGGAATGGGAAAAACAGAAAAAAACGTCAGTGGTCCCCAAAGAACCTGATAGAAGATAAGTAGCTGATAAAAAAATAGAGTAGGTGAACACAGAGAGTTATCCACAAGGATAAGACGTTTGAAATTTAATAAAATTGGAAAAACTTTCTTCGCTTCCATTTTTCCAACCAGTTCACGCACGCATTGATAAAATGATAAAATCAAGAAGAGACACATACTGCATCAATTTCCGTTTGAGCTATATCAAATAAGCACATTATTCTTCTTCTTATTCTTCCCCTGCGTGTTTTGAGTTACCTTGACAACTGAATTTATGTTTTGATTGAAAGTAAAGGTGTTTAAACGGCATTCAAAAAAAGTGTTTTTTGTGTCCTATGAAATGGCGGGAGCCTAATTGACAGCTACTCTTATTGTCACTATGTTAAGGGATTATAGATTAAGCAACTTTTAGTACGGCTCATGCAAATTTTCAGACCGCGGTGATCATATTATATTGAATGACGCCCGACCACTTTTATATCTGATCTTTTGTAGTTCAATCTGTGTGCCGATGTTGTTTCTCAGTTTCTTTTATTCGCACTCATATTTTTCTGGTACAAAAAATTAGAGCTGTGGACGATGGAAGTTTGTGGGCGTGGCCAACGGTTGTCGTGAAGAAGACCACTGTAACCTAAAATTTTCGGTCTTTTTTTGCTCGATTACTATTGCTTTTCGACAATTTTTATGTTGAAACACTCCAAACGAGTCGGAAAATAAAATGTTTCTAAATCAAAAAATGCCTGAAAAAATCGAGAAAAACAATAATAAAGCAAAAACAGTTGCTAACTACGGTAGTTTGGCAATGACCAGATTTTCTTTTCCACAGCCCCTACTATTTTGTACCAATATAATAATAGTATCTGACGGATTCGTATATTATCTCATTTTTAGGAAAGCATTGGTGTTTTCCAAAAAAATACAACTTTTTTGGCCAGACTTTCTCTAATGAGTCCTAACAAAAAAGTAGATTCTCAGAATTGTAATTTTACAAATCAACAACTTCAACAAACAATGCTAGGGGGAGCTTTTCTGAGAACCAAAGCATAAATTTAAGAAAATAACTTTAAAAATCAATCAATAGATCAAAAAACGCCTAACTTAATTTGAAGTTTATAAACAAACAATTATGATGTCTTAGGTTATCAGAAAAATTAATGATGTTATTATATTTGCAACATAACCATCTTTCCTCACTATCAGTTGTTCAGAATAATCTTCTCCTCAAATTTCTTTTTTGTCAGAATACCTTAAACACTCTAATAGAAGGTCCCCCTATACTTGTTTTTCGAGCTCAATTATCTCAATTCTTATAAAAAATATCAAAAATATGCCAACTAATAAAATGTTCGTGATATTATGATATATTTTTGATATCTTTCACAGAAATCGAGATAATTGAGCTGAAAGTTTACGACTTTGGTGGTGGGCTTCTTTCCAAGGAAATACGGTATTCCATTTGCACCATATCTAATTTTTCTAGGTTGTTTGTTTTTTGTTCAATTCTTCAGTTAAAGCTGTACACACAATTTATTTTTTTTTCTATCTTTTGGAGAAGAGTATAAAAATAAGATTATGAAGTTCGTCAACAAAATAACACATACAAATGAATTCATTTGCTGCTTGTATGCTCCCAATTCTTCTGTTGTTTTCCTTGAATATTGTTCGAGGAGAAGTGCGATTTAATTCCAGGTCGGATATAACATGAGAGTTCGTTCTCTTTTGAAATATCACTTTGAAATATTTCCAATCGGCCCAAACAAAACAAATGAATATCTTGATTGCAGGTGTGTAGATGTGTCAATGACATGCAAATACCATGAGAAATTTTGTTCTAAACCAACATATGCTGGTCTTATGTTCAGCATATGTAGATTTACTTGTGATTGGTGTCAAAAGTCACTGAACGATGTCACATATTCGAATCGTAGACGCTTCGCAGAAGTACCAGGTATCTCACGTTTTCATATTCGCTGAATAGAAATTCCATTTTCAGATGACATTCGAGAGTGGCTCACAGTCAACCCTTCTTCTCCGAGAGATGTCGAAGGGAGCACTGGTATTGTCCCTAGCTGCGTGGATACTTCCAGATCATGTTCATTAACTGTATCCCTATGTGAATCAGCCAGCTATCAGAGTATTATGGCGAAGAAGTGTAAAAAAACTTGTGGTCTTTGTGAATAAAGTCGAAATAAATCTGCCATCACTTGAGAGAAAATCTTGTACACAGAACATGAACTAAAAATTATAAAAATATATTCAAGGATAGGGAAACAGCCACTTCCAAATAAAGATTTGATAATAACCCTAAATGTCCATATGGGCGAGATTGCTTAATTTCAAATTCGTTCAAATTTTTTCTGATCTTTATGACGCGTTTTTTTTCTGGAAATGCTTGTAAATGCGCTCGAACGCGAACATACCGTAACACTACTGTATCATTAGTCTCAACTCGAAAGCTTCAAATTGAACTGCTGAGCTGCTATTCAGCGGTGCCCCTATTCCATCCTAAAAAACACAGGAAAAAAATTATCTTCAAAAACTTTCCGGAAAAATACACTGTGTCATGACACCAGGTACATATGTACCATTTCAAAAGTTGTTATGCATTATCAAACGAGTCTGACTAAAAACAGAACATTTGAAGGTTTCCGGAATTCAGAAAATTTTTAACTGTTCTGACCTTCGAATTCCCAATTTCGGTTCATAGTTTTCCCCATCGGTTCGCCGCTAAATAAATAATTACCATCGTTTGTTTTTTTATATTCTTGATTTTTGAACTTCCCTTCATTTTATTCTATTGCCCACGAGGAGTACACGATACATGGAAGAGAAAACGCATTATGTCTACGCATGCGTCTCTCAGATTCGCGCGCTCTCTCTCTCTCGTTCTGTAGAAAACATTTTTCCAATAGTTTTGCGCAAAACTTTTTGGAGCTCATTCCAGCGGATTGGCTCAATAATATGCATATTGCTGTGGACAATTTAACCATAAGCGTACCGAAAATTGATAAACCGACTAAAGTGAGTTTTCTAAAGTTTTCTAACCTTGTCAACAAAAGTTTTCTATATTTAACTCTTCAAAAATAAAGGCAGCGCTCGACTATGTCGAATTACTTCGGGAATCATTTAGTGCCAAGAAACGACAAAAATTCAGCAAGGCTTCGCTTGCAATAAGACCATCAGACTTCCCGGATCTTTCAAATCAACAACTATGCGGTTCGTTCAACTATGTTTTCTATTCCTATCTAGAACTTCAACTTTTCAGACATTCTGGTCCGAGTTGCTTACAATGGGAGTCACATTGATGAAGATTTTCGGAAACACGTTTTAGATTTAGTTGAAGATCAGGTTAGTTATTTGTTCATCCTGCATATAAATCTCAATTTCCAGTCATTAACCTGGAATCAAGTTCTACTCAGTGTCATAAGAACGCAATCAGATCAGTTGTATATGAAAAGCCAATTATGCGAACTGATAACCGAAATGATTCGCTTTGTACAGTGAGTTTTTTTCAAGTACACTTAAATTGGAAAGATTACATTCCTTTCAGAATAAAATCGTTTCACGATCCAAAACATGCCGACTCCTTGATCTCCGTTATTTTGCCAACCTTTGTATTTTTAACCAAATTGATTCTGGTAAATTGAGTATTTTTTGGAACCCCAGAAATTGTATATACTTTAGGAACTTCTTTCCGACGAAGATGAAATGGAGACTATACAGATTGAGTATGAAACTAAATTTCCGCCATATCACAAGCCTCTTCAAGCTTTGAACACTTTGATTCACGATAACCTCTGTGGACCTCTTCTAGCTATGTATAGGTCTTCTGAAGAGGTTACTCGACAATTAGTTCTCTGTTCGGAGGCTTTCTCCAAACTTGAGCGCCCCGACGAATCTTCGGTTGGTCTCTTAGACCTAATACTCGAGAAACATCAAGATAATTGCAAACCAACAAAATATGAGTATACTCCTGATGGTCTGGCGGCATACGATCTCAAGAATCCGTCCGTAAGAATACTAGTTCCCATTTTCGCATGCTTTCGATGCCATGAAACAAGCAAACAAATGGCAGAAACTGTACAAATCTTCGTTGATATAATGAGAGTATCTGGTGATGACGTCGTATTTGATCTTCTACACGCGGCGATTCTATTGAAGTGTGAAGAGTCGAACAACTTGTTGCATCTTTCCAAACAACACCGGTTGGATTTTCGATGGCAGTCGACGACATTCTTCTACAAAAAACTTCCTCAAATTATTGAGCATTTAGTTAGTTTTGGGAAGGTTACTGCGGAAGATGTACAGAAGGGAATGGAACGAGCGTTGAATGATTTGACAATGGTAAGTGGATTGAATGTCAACCTATTCAATTATCCCCTAATTTCAGCTATTCGATGTAGCCGATATATCCTGGCAAAACGCTTCATTTCTCACTGTTCTAAATGCTCTTGAGCCTTTGATTGGCTCAGAAGCTGCTAATCCATTACGTCATCGTCGGCGGGAATACATGAGGAAAACTGCGAGTTTGACTGCTTTGGCGGATTCTGATGAGAAGTTGATAGAGAATACGGACATTGATAGGTTGCTCAATGCTGTTAAACAAGTTATGAATCTTCAATTCGGGCAAAATGAAGAATTCTATCAGGAATTCATTCGAAAAGTGAACGGAGACGATTGTGAGGATTTCGATGCAGTGATGTCAATTCTGATATCCGAAGGTAGACTTCTAGAAGTTGGAAAGGCATTCGCAATGAAAAGTAAACTCGCTCAATATCCATCGGAACTCAGTCTTGATGAGAGAATTAAAAAATTCGATGAAACTTTCCTACTTCTTACGAGAATCATTGTAAAATTTCCGGGTTTGGTGAGTTTTCATTGGTCAAGTCGACGGCGTCAACTCTTATCTCTACTTTTTTTCAGTCTATCGGCCTCTTGGTAAACGGTGGTCCCGGTGAAATCTCAATTGCTGATTCGATATTCTATAGATGGTCGATGTGGTATGTGAAACGTGTTCCGAGAAAAGACAAATCTGAAGAAAAAAGCGAAGAAGAATTGGAGGCAATGAGAATACAAGCAAAGGTACTGATAGAGGAAATTAACAAAGAAGTTGGGATAGAAGAGGAAATAGAAGAGGAGGAAGAAGACATTGAGCCAGAAGTGGTCAAGGAGATGAAAGAATCGGGCACGGAGAAAGAAAAAGAAGAAGAAGAAGAAGACGGAAATAAGGAAACAAAAAACGAAACAGCAAACGATGAAGAGATGCCCGGTGATGAACAGAAAACGGAAGAAAAAATGGACACGTCTGAAACACCTGCTGAACCTCCAATACAACAGCAAAGCACACCTGAAGATCCGCCGAAAGTTGAAGAACCTGCAGAGAGGATAAATCAAGAAAAACCAGAGGAGAAACCAAAAGAGCCGTTAGAACCAACATGGAATGAAATGAACTGTGCTCTTCCTAGAATTTCGAGAAAGAAAGCTCGACGCTATCTCGGACTGTTGAAACAGGGAAATCCGTTCTGGTCAACTGACAACAATAGTCTCAATATCGGGGCAATATTAGCGGCGCTTCCAAGTATGGGGAAGTTGTTAATAGAAGAACACAATGAAGAAAAGCACCGAGTCGATCGAAAATCTGCGGAAGAGCATATGGCGGTAAGATAAACCCTATTTGAAATTGTTATTGTTTTACATTTTCAGAACATCATTCACGCATTGGAGTCTATGCCGTGTCTATTCGTTTGTCTTGTTCAATGGGTTGATTGTGCACCTGCATCTCCTGCGAGAACACTATTAGCCAAGACAATGAAAAACGCTCTCGAAAAACGTGTGTCGTCGTCGTCGGCTTCAATTGCAGATGATACGAATCTTCCAAAGTGGAGATTCATTCTATCGACGTGCAACGAAATGATTCATGAGCTCACAGATCGAGTTCCTGTGTTCCCAGATATAACATGCACTGCGTTCAGTGCAGCTAGACGATTGTGTCCGTTTGTGACAAGAGATGAGGTATGAAGAATGATTTTTTAACTGGAAAAACGAACCAATTTTAACAGATTCCCGATTCGACGAAGCTGAAGCACGCCTGGTATTACATGTGCCAACAATCGTGGACAAGTCCGCATGCGCTTCGACTTCTGGAACATGCAAACATTCACAGTGAATACAATACGTGGATTCATGTATGTCAACTCTATTGCTCAGTTTTTCGAATATTTGATTGAAACTCGACATTTTCAGCTCTACATCACCAAGATAGTGGGTGGCGGGTGTGGCGAAATAATGAAAGATCAAGTTGATATGATTTTCGGAATGCTCATGATGGATGATCTCAACGTGATCATAAGAATGCATGAAATTATGATGGACTTTTGGTTGAGTGAAGAAGCTGGCAACCTTCAGCTAGACGGTCGATTCGACCCGTTGTCAATGACTGCCGTTATTCGATTGATGGCTAACGTGAGTGTTGAAGCATTCCGCTTGAATCAGTAACGCTAGATCCCTCATAAAATGTTATTTCAGGTTATGCTCATCTCTGAATGGACTCTCGATCGATTGATCAACGACGGACCTCCGCTAGTTGAATTTGATTTTACATCAGCAATGACACCAGAGCCAGAGGATCCGTTACGTCGGGAGAAGTGGGTGTTCCTTCTCAGACAGATGTTGGATAGAACTGTTAATCGATTGTTCAAAATTCTTCGGCAAGGTTTGTGACTCGTTGTTTTTTTTTCTCAGTTTGCTTTAAAAAAAAACACCGCAATTAGTTGAGACAGAATAACAGGTTTATTTATCATTTCATGCCAAGTGGGCGTTGTGATTTCCAAAAAAAGTTCCAAAAAATAATGCAAAGAAAATATAAAAAAAGTATTAAAACTCCTGAATCATCATACGGTTCGGTTCTCCCATTCCGTCATCTTCCTCGTCCATCTCGATTTCTTCTGAAATCATTTCCATCGTAGTCGTCTCCGTTGCTTCTCGAGAATGCTTGTCCAGTGAGTTCCGTCTCGTGACATTCTTCTGTCCAGTGCAAAAGAAATGGAAAATTCCAACGGAAATGAACAGGAAGCATATGAGAAGGACGACGAACCAGAATTTGAAAGCAGCGTCTGATAGGTAGACTCCAGTGAATTCCTCGATTGGGTTAACAGTAGTAGATGACACGTAAAGTTCCTCCTCGTCCAATTCAAAAGCCATGATTTCGTTGACAGTTGATACAATTTGCTTAGCTTCAGCCAAGCTGAAAAATGAAAACGTATTTAAACGCATGACTAAAATACAGAGTTAATTATTTCTGACCATTGGAAAATAAGGAAAACGATATGCAGTTCCAGTCAATAAGATATACAAAAAAATATTTTTCAGTTGATTTTCGGCCATTTTGACCATTTTCAAGAGTCTGGAGCTCGGCTGTCAAGTTTTCGATCACTTTGAAAATTCTGGAGGATGTAAAACAAACCTAGATTGAAAAAATTGCATTCACAGCATTTTTTGAAAATTTCTAGTTTTTCAGCTATTCGCCCATTTCTAAAGACACATTTTTTATCGTTTTTGTACTGGAAAAAGTGTCTTTCAGAAATCGACAAAAAGCTGAACAACAAGGAATTTTCAAAAAATTCTGTGAATGCAGAGTTTTCAATCTAGGGCTACTATTCTACACCCTCCAAAGTTTTCAAGGTGATCGGATACTTGACAGCAGAGCCCTGAAAATCGTTTAAAAAATTCAAAACACCTAACTAGAACTGTAATTGGCTTACTAATTGGAAAATACGGAAACCGAAAAGTCTAAACAATATAAATTTATTGATGGAAAAATGATGTGAGAAGAATGAAGACCTCAAAATGTACCTTCTTTGAATTATTTTTGATCTGCAAAAAGAGGGAAGAGAAGCTCGTGAAGCGAAGAGAGAAGAAGCAAAAAGAGAAAACCCCACATCGCTAATTGTTAGTTTCTTCGACTACCTTTTCTCTTCTTCTCCCACAACCCAAAAATTGACGTACATTGGCTCTAGTCTCGCTCCTTCTTCTTCACCTTTACCCAGTTCCACAAAGACGTCGTCGGCGAATTCATTAGAAGTCGTAGAATCTGTTAACTGTTGAAACACTTGGGCCTTCCGAAGAGCTCGGATATAGGCGATGTCCGATTGGGATTTGAGCATGAGATTTGGTTGTGACATCATTAAAATATGGTATTGATTGGAGTATAAGTGATCACAACCTTCAACGTATTCGAGTTGTTGAATAAACAAAGTTGGAGAAAGCATTTTTTGTTTAGAAAAAAGTTCAGGTTTCCAGATAGACACAGAGAAACTAGAAAAGATTTGTTTTTTTTTTTTGATTTCTTAATTTTAATAATAAATTATTTGTTTTCAGGCGTCCTCTGTACCGTTGTCAACACAATCGTTCGGCTTATCAAAGCTATCGCTGGATCGGCGGACTGTAAAGCCAAACGTCTTTTAATAAAGCGAATCCCTCCGGAGATCGTCTTCCAACTGGCATACATCGAACCACAATGTGCTGATTATGCTCTTATGAATGCTTACTGTGACCCAAAGAACGAGGAACACACTCGAACGAAAATCAGATTCCTGTGTGCACTGCGACGATCCCATATATTATGATCTTATTCTAAAATTGCTTTTCCATGTCCAATTGTACCTCTTGAAACCTCTTGAAAATACGTTATTACGTATGTTGAATAATGTATATTTGTAAATATTCAGGATTTTACTTCCCCACTACTTGAATGAAGAAATTTACACCGAATTATTGACCAGCACTAGACTTGAACTTCTTTGAGTGGAACACTTGTGCTTCTGGAGTCTCTGTAGTGTAGAATTTCGCTTCGGATGAGATCGTGACGTCGTTGACAGCTTCAGAAGATCGATTATGAACAGGATGGGAGAAGCGGCATTTATCGCCAAATCTACATTTTCCTTTGAGATAGTTTCTGAAAGAAAATGAATATGTGGAGAATTTTAGAATCTAACTTACTTGCAAGTGAATTTCGACTTCTTACGTTCCTTCTCTGCTGGCTTTTCCGATAGATTCACATGCCGGCTCAGCATATTTGTATTCATTCGTTCTTCTCGTGCATAATCGTTATCAAAAATTGAACTTGTCTGAAATAAGAAACCTTGAATGTGATTCCAGGAACCAAACAAACAAATTCTTTGTCCAACTCAGTCACCGACTCTCCAGGTCGTCGTTTTTTCTTCGGAGCAGCTTGTTCTCCTTCGTCATCGTCTGAATCACTTGATCCTTCCTCAGCACCCTCGGAGAAGAAAAATGAAGAAGAAGTTGTTGGATTTTCTTCTTGATTTGGTTCTGTCTATACTTTTTGATTTTTTAAAAATTCAAATATATGAATACTCACTTCTCTCTTTGTATTTTCGACTGTTTCTTCTTGTTCTTTTTCTTCTACAGCTGGTTTTCCGAAAAAGTCTTCTTCCTCGCCTCCGCTTTGCTCACTGTCACTTCCGTATGCAACGAGGGATGTCATTCTGAGAAGATAAGATTACAAGAAAATTAAATCGACTAAGAATTATATTAAAGAACATTAATTAGACAGAGGCACTTGGGTTCAAGCGAGGGGGTCAGAAAGCGCGCCCCAGTAAATTTTTCAAAAATTCTCAATTCGCTGCCGAACTTCGTTGGCTGAGTATCACAGTTTTAAACGATGAGCGAGAATATGCGCGTTGCAACCCGTTGATTTTTAAGAAATAGATCATGATCTAGTTCAAACCCGCGTTCATTTTAAAATTATTAAATTTCTTCTGGCCTACGAGTTTGCTGGGGCGCTTTTTCTGACCCCCTCGCCTGAACCCAAGTGCAGAGGGAGTTTTATTTCAAAAAGATGAGAAAAATTACACTTTTCAATAAATTCGGTGAACGCGCGCGCTGTTTAGCAGTGCGGAATATCGGAGTGTCGTTTGTACTATTTTTCTTCACTATTGTGTAAATAGTGTCTTGTTAGAAGATAAAAAACGCCGGAGAAACTTAAAATTTGAGCTCTTTACAAGGACAGCTTCATTCACGGGTATCCAAATAGAGCTTTCACTATCTATGCTCAGCCTCTGACTTTCAATTCCTGTCTAAAAGTTCCATTACAAAGTTTCTGCTGAACACCCAGAAAGTCACGAATATTTTAAAAAACACTTCATTGCCACAAGAAAACACTCTAACAGAAGGGCACCCAAATCGCAAACTTTGAGCCCATATATCTCGCTTCCTGGGAAAGATATCAAAAAGTGGTCAACTGACAAAATTTTTATCATAAAATCAGAAACGTTTTGTCGAAAACTTTTTGACATATTTTACAGGAACAGAGATAAATGAACTAAAATTATGCGGGTCTATTATAGTGTTTACGGTATATGTTAGACTCCGAGTATGGATTATCTCCTTTATTCTAATCAGATCTCCAAATTGAAAAAAAACAGAAAACTTTGCACGCCTGTTTGTGCAACTCCACAATATATGGATACAGAGTGGAATACTGCTCCCAAAGATCCATTGAATCCACCAAATCCCGGCACGGCCAAATGATTTCTTTGTCGAGTCGGTTGCATCTTCCACGCTAAAAAGGAATATTTCAAATGACATCTAAACAAATAACCCACCAAATACTTGGACATGTTCTCCCAACTAGTTGGTACCAAGAACCAATGATCATCGCAGATGACACAAGGTTTTATGTCGTCGAATTGAGCCATAGAAATTATGACAAAAGTAGATAACACAAAAAACGAAAATAAGTACTTCATGGTAACGAAGAATAGCAAAATTTTAGATGCAAAGGGCATTTTATAGATGTAGAAGGGTATAGGGGAGTTCTCAAGAAACTGATGAGAACTGTATTGTGTTCTCATGCCTTTTTGTCTGGAAAAATAGTTTGCGATTTTGTACCATCGTTACCTTTGGTCTGTACATAAAATGTGTAAAAATCGTAAATGTGATTTATGAGGTTGGCAAGGGGACAATAAAAGAAAACGCATTTAGTGACCAACACATCTGGAAGTCGGCTCATCAAAAAATGAAATAAAACCAAAGTATAGCAGGAGAGAGACAGAGCAAAGGTGAAGCCGGAAATTACACTTTGATCCAGGTATTACTGTACTTGTTGATGTTTTTTTTCTAATTTTCCGCTGCAGTTCTACGGTTCTGGTCAGCGAATAGCCTGTCCATTTCTTGATGAACCGATCTGTCAGTAATGTTTTTGTGACACAAAAAATTGAAACTAAATAAATGTAGATACAAAATTTCAGGTCAGTTTTGTTAGCTTTATCCATTTTTTCAAAAACCTAATCTTCATATTTTCAAAAGTGTCAACTGATAAATTGTTTCTCATAATATCATTATGATTTTGTCAGTTGTCACATTTTTGATATCTCGTACAGTGCCCGAGATAATTGAGCTCAGTGTGAGGGCTCTTCTATTACAGGTTTTACGGTAACTGATCATTTCAGAATTCAGAAAAAAAACCTCCAAGGATGAAAAGGTTTACAGCTTTTTTATTCAGAAAACACTACCACAATTACAGAAGATCAGTTTTTCTTCTCTGAAAATATATATCAATTCTGGAAGATATTGAATACCTGACTCCAAACGCTTCTTCTTCACTTCCTTCCTCTCCAAACCACTCATTGATAACAACAACACTACTAATCAGTCCCCTTCTTCTCTAACCCCAAATCAAATAAACACTACTCCTTCTGTCCTCCCCATCTCCTTTTCAGGCAAACATACAGAATAAATGTTCGTCAAATTACCCGCACAATGTTCTTTTCTGTATTTCTTCATCTCCATAACTTTTTCTTATTTTCCCACCCATTGTTGACTGCCACAATGAAGAATGTGAAAAAAACTCAAATGGTATATATGGCCATACGTCCTTTCGTCATGAATACTGTTTTTGTCATTCGGCACATCGTTTATTTTTTGTCCAAAATACCGCAAAATTATATATAAATTTTCGATATTATATATCAAATTGCATAACTACCGATTAAATGGCGACCAGTGTAGAGGGGTTAAACCGGATAATCGGAAACACGGACATTATGTGGGATTCAGATTTCAAACCGAGAGTGCCGCGCATTAGCCAGTGGTTTTGAAAATTACAAAACACTGATTTTAGTCCTGTATTTCCCTACGTTATGTTATTTATTTGTTGATGTTGATGTCGCTAGAAATATCGAAATTCGAGAAACCGGGGGGATTACTCAAAAGATGGCAAATCACAACTAAAACTATAACAACCATTTACTTTTCTATTTTATTTTCCTCCCACCACTACCTTTTTACTACTACATTCCTCTGTTCAAAAACCATTCCTTATATTCTCCATTTCTCTTTTATGACTCATTTCAGTTCATTTGAACTTTATGCCAACAAGCGACCATTTGTTTCTGTTTAGCCCCTATTTTTCTAGGCATGGAACAAGAAGATAAATAATTCCAACTGCTCCTCATATCTATATATTTTTTGTATTCAATACGTAATGAGGTTTCAATCGAAACCAGATGTGTTCTGTTAGTCCGGCAAATTCACTTTTGTTTCCATTTCTTCGCCTCTTTTTCTTCTTCAAAACCGCCGTCGTCGTCACTTTTTTTTCTGAATCTTCACCATTCTCGCCGGATGTCTCGGATCCTCGAGGTGGAATTAGCAAAGTGGATTGTACAAGACTTGTTATAGAATCTGGAGGAGAAGAAGGAGTACTGTAAGTGGTAGATGATGTCTTTTTGAATTTGATAAAAATCGAAACTTGCTAATAATAGTTGCCTCCTTAATAATGGTACCTGTTCGCGCAACAGTCGAATCACTTCTCGAAGTGTGGGCGGAGACGCTTTTTTAAAAATGTGAGTCACTTTGTTAACTTCAGGATTCAAAAGGATCTTCTGAGGAAATATGTATCTCCCTTTTCAGTTCCTGATTTTTTTTCAATTTTTTGCAAAACGTCGAGTTAGCACAGAACAGAGTTGAAATTGTTTCAATGTGCTTATTATGACCTAGATATAAACTAAAAAAACCGAGAGACATCTGGAGCTTGTACCAACCACTAACCAAATCGTAGGCATGTCACAGCTGCAACATATTGTGCTCAACTCTCATTAAAACTATTTTTATAGATTCATTTTTCTCGATCTTTGCTATTCTTAATACCAACTAAACCTGTTAATTTTGTGGACCGTATATTCCCAAAAATAAATAAAGTAAACCCAAGCCGTCAATTTTTAACTCAATTATCTCGGTTCCTAGAAAAGATATCAGAAGACTGTCAACTGATAAACTATTCATCATATTATTAACAATGTTTTGACAGATTCTTGATACCTTTCTCAGGAATCGAGATAATTGAGCTCAAAGTTGACGGCTTGGTTTGACTTATATTAGAGGAAATACGGTAGATTTATTTTATACTTGAAAAACGGGATCTGCCATAGTTTCTTTTAGGATTAATTACGCCAGGTCCCGAACCAATTACGCCAAGTCCCGGCCCAAAATATATATATTCTTAAAGAAACTATGGCATGGGGTCCGCTTTGGGCACCTTTTCGAGCCTGATTTATTCTCCCTCAATCTTCTCTATTCTTGAGTCTGTTCATTTTTTATAGTTTCGAAAATCAAACTTTATACAAATTAAAGTATTTTTTCCCCAACCACTGAGTTTTTTGACCAGCTAGGATTCATATATTTTTCTGCTCATCGAAATATGTACAACTTGTGTTGCATTCCATTTGAAAATTCAAAACATATGTTGTTATTGACTATACATCCTCAATAGATCTTTCTCGATCATAAACTTCCTAGTGACTTCTACATTCTTCTACATTACGAATATTTCTTTCCCCGCGATTGAAACAGTTCTCCTATTTCCACTTCCAGGCCCAAAATGTTTATTCTATGCACAGAAAAGGGGCAAACCCTGCCCTGTCTCTTCCGAAATGTTTATTTTATTTTGTGTTATTGTTAATAGAGTATTACTGCTGCTCCAGTGTCATGCTCCAAATCGGACCCTCCAACCCCTCGTTGCTCTTATCTCATTTAGTCTTTTTAAGAGCATTGGTTTTTTTTGTTTGGTTAGGGTAATAACAAAAAAGAGAGTACGGTTTGTCAAAACCGTTTATGCTCATGCAACCCGTGTGTTTTGCATTGTTTGTGTAAAAATTCAATGTTTTCCGGAAAAAGGGAGAAAGCTTGTTATCCAATGGATTCAATACACAATCAGCTGTCTTCAAGTGAATGTCCGTAAGTCCGATACGAGCACCGAAGGATTGAATTTCAAAGAGTTCGGGTTGCGTTTCGTTTCGACCACCCCCACTGGGTCTTAAGTTATACATTTGTACATTTTATTATTTTGTCTTGAGACGAATTTCGAATTCTGGGGTGTCTGAAATATCGTGAAAACACAAATAGAAGTCCACCCTATACTTGAACATAGCTCAATTATCTAAATTTCTATAAGAAACAAGAAAAACATGTCAGCTGATAAAATGTTGATAATATTATGAAAAACGTTTTATCATTTGACATATTTCTGATATCTTTCATAGAAATTGAGAGAATTGAGCTCAAAGTGCAAAGCAAAGGGTCGACTTCTATTAGAGTGTTTTTAGCATTTGTCAGATTTTTTCTGACCATGTAAGATTATCTTTTCTGATTTCTTGTTTTGGCGAAAACCAGGTATACTGTATCTATCCACTCAACAAGAATTCTTCAAAACATCATTGCCTTTCCAGAAAATCTTGTTTTCTCATGTCATCTGGTTTTTTTTCGAAGATTCTATTTCTAGAACTCTTGGTCTCTTGATGAACTTTCTACCTGGTTCAATTACTACATCTACACATTTTGCTCTCTGTTTAAACTTCTACTCTTCTCTCTGTTACCCACAATCGTCTGTGTTTCATTTCTTGTCACTCATCGGGGACTCTTCCTTCTCCTTCCTGCGCAACAAGATTAATTGAACGTACATATGTTTTTGTCACCTTCTCCTTCCTCTTCCTTCTGTCCTTCTCCTTTCCTTTTTCTTCTTTTCCTGAAGATGAATTCTTCCTTCAGTAAATGTTCCTCTTTTTCGTTTTCAAATCTACAATGATGGCGCAACCTCAAATCCGATTAATCTTATCCTTCTTCGAAAGGAAGAGATTTGAATAATACATATTATAGGATATTCGATTATGGTATTATTTATTTTCAAGGATCTGAGAGGACACACATCTAGGTCAGCATCTATACCACCCATATTTCATTTTTCAAGTATTTACCCAACTTTTTATATGGAGAGCGTGATGTTGACCAATCAACACCTCTTTTTTCTCCATTTGAATAACCCTTCAGCATATTTTTACTTTCGGATCTTACAAAACCCTCTTTCTTCACAATTTTTTCAATCTATTCCCTCATCTTCATCTCCTTATTCTTGTTCTTCAAACTACCACCTGTCTCTTTTCAATGTATTGTCCTTTGATGAGTTGTGTCACTTCCAAATCGACACCTGCCCCAAGGACGAGCAAGCAGCCATCGTCTTCTGTTCAATCCCCAAAACAGGACCTTCTCATTCAATTTCATTCTGCCTCATATCCTTTTTCGTAACTTTTGAAACCGTTTCGCTGCTATAGTTGTCCGGTCACGCGGATGCTGATTTGGTACTATTGGATGGGAAAAGTGTGTCACATACAATGCCATGTTTTGGGATAAAATAGTAGTGGGGGCTTAGAATTCAGAAGTTAATTACATAGATGAGCTTTAAATTTTATTGAATTTCAGAACCCTTTCTAATTTTCCAAATTCTGCACATTTCGTTTAAATTTATAATCAAAATCAAAGATCTCTATTTTGCATGCCCACTAAATCTGAAAATGCATCTCAATTTTTTAGTTATTACATCATAAACTTCCAAAAATCCTTCTAAAAGTTTCTGAGCCTACTTTTGGAATCATTCTTCGTTTTCTTCTAAAAATAGACACGAGGCTCATTCAAGTTTGTTCAGCACATTTGCCTTTTTCCTACTCTACTAGTGCCAATAACATTTCAAAAAAATTTATACTGGTCCACCATTTCCAGTACCGTAAAACCCATACTTGTGGAAAAGATGGCCGGCCCGCGGGCCGGCCAGTTTTTTTAAAATTTCGAAGTTTTAGAGCAAATCATCATTTTTCAAGATGACTCTTCTTCTTATTAAATGAAAATCCACACTAGATGCTGATCCTGTTGAAAAAAACAGTTTTGAGGTCGTTTTTAGAAAAAAATTTCACCCTTGGCTTAATCAAGTTTGATTTTTTTGCTAAAAATTCAATTAAATTGACTTTTTCGGATGGTTGTATGCATTTGGATTAATATTTGTGCTATTGAAACTATTTTGGCACATTTGAAAAGTAAAATAAAGTAAAAATTCGAAAAGTTGTC